CTGGTATTTCAAATTTATCTTCAAAGGGGTGAAGGGTGATAATAATTATAATTTATAATTTTCATTGCTGAATTCTGCAATTTCTATCTGTGACACACTTAGAAATCATTGATTAATCATCTCAATGCTTTTATGAAATGAATATTATCTCTATAGTTACATTATTTAAAAATGAAGAAACTTTTTTAACCAGTGAACCTGAGTGTAACCTAGTTTGAGGAGGATTAAATCACTGTCAGGGAATATATTTTAATATGTGAATTTGATGGTATAAAGCAATGAATTTGTTAGTGTATAGCATTAACATAGATTATTTTAAAATTACCTTACAACAAAGTGGAAAATCATAAATATTTTAGGACCAATACAGAAAAAAATTTCAGTGTCAATTTATTCTTAAAAGAGGTGATGGGATTATGAAGGCTTGCAACCTATGTCTTTATAAGGTTATTAGCCTAAAAATAATCAAACATGATGAGTCTTTTTAAATTTAGTATATTTAGATTTGGCATTGAAAAGTTTTTGTGAGAATTTATGTTAAAAATAGCCATTTTTCACTAAGTGCCAAGGAAATAGAAGTGAATGAAATAAGTAGTTAATCACAATTATCTTTCTCTTGTCTGCCTAGAGCACCAGTGTACATGTGTACTTTCCAGTTGAGTGTTATGCTTACTAAAAGTCAGTTTTCTCTGATCTCAGACTCATGCATGAAAGGTGCATTTCATGTTGTAGTTATATAATTTAAAAATGTATAAACTAATAAATCAGTATAAATATTTTGCTTCATGATAACTATTATGAATGCTTTGAGAAATCCTCAAAAAGGAGAGATGTAAACAAAATTATGCTGTCATTAGTTGGAGGTGGACCAATTATGAAAGACTAAGAATTATAAAAAAATACCTAGATATTTACCCTCGGATGGTATCACTAGCATTGACAAGTTCCCACTGCACCACAGAGTAAAACCAAACTCAGAAGTTGTTTGTGTTTGTTACACAAGCATGGTTTTTGCAGAAAAAGTAAAAGCAAAAGCAAAAACAGTCCTGATGCTTTTATCAAATCAGTGTACATACTACATATTTGTTATAAAATTTAAGGTATTTGTATATCACTTTTAATGATTCCACATTTAAGCTGATGCTTTTGATTAGTCAACCAAAGACACATCCCTCTGCCCACAACAGAACTGAAATTTTTCTACTCCAATATCTTCAACTATGAGAAAATTAACCATACATGGAGGTAATTTTTCTTAGAGTTTGGAAAACCTGGATGTACCTCCTTTAACTTGATGAGATTCAGCCTCTTTCACATGATTAAAAGGGAGTCTACAAGATCAATAGTGAAATCTCATTCTAGGCAAGAGGAAACCTTTAAGTTCATCAATCAAAAATATTTTTATTTCCATTTTGGTCTGCACTTATCTTTGTCAGTACCTCCTTCAACACAACTGAATGCTGTCTTAGTCTGCATTGTGTTATAATAATAGAATACCTGAGACTGAGTCATTTATGAAGGAGTTTACTTGGTTCACAATCCTGGAGGCTGGGAAGTCCAAGACCAGGCAGCCTCTCTAGTGAGAGCCTAGTGCTACTTAACTTATGGCAGAAAGCCCACACAAAAAAGGTATGCAGGAGTGGCTGGGTTTGTTTATATCAAGATATGCTCTCAGGAACTAATCCATTCCCTCAAAAGTATAACTTGCTCAGTCCTGAAAGATGGTATTTATCTATTCACGGGGATGGTGCACCCATGATTCAGCCACCTTACATTAGGCGCCACCTGCCCATACTGTCATATTGAGAATCAAATTTCAACATGAGTTTTGGTGAGGACAAAACACATCCAAACATAGCAGATACCCAGAACCATTTTCTCTCTCATTCAAATACCACATTTATATTTTAACTCCTCTTCATTGCCTTATTAGAACTCAACAGAGGGCTTGGCTAGTTATGCTCATATGTTAAGAAGATTGACTACTGTAGAAAAAGAACATTGACCCATGAACATAAAATTAAGTTCTTTTCTTGCACCTCTCTCTTATCAACATGAACCCTGAGAAACCACTCTAAGACTTCAGTTACTTTATTTGTAACATTAGGGAGTAAATCTAGAATTGTGACAGTTCACAATATGCCAGAAACTTGAAATTTTTGGCATTTATTGTCTTATTTAATTCCTATAAAATGTGAATTATAACACTAATAAAATGCTAATATTATCACTATTTTCCATGTGAACTGAGGCTTATAAGAGAGGGGCAGGCATGAGAGGAAAAACCTAGGTCTTCCTGAACATTAAATTCAACAGGATTATGTGAAACCTTAGTTGTATTAAGAATGAAATAGGGTTATTTTTTCTAAATGAACTTGGCTTGCTGACCGAATGATTTAAACAGCCTGAATATTTGCTTAGCCATTTACGTACCTTGTCAGCTGAGTTTAAGATAAAGACCAAGCAAAAGCACAGCACAGTAAATCGACAACAGGACAGATAAGAGAGTGACTCATTTCCCATTTTGCAGCATTTATAAAGTGAGTTTCAGGTGGGTCACTTGTCACTTCTTCTCTGTGAGCCTCCTGATACATTTTATATATATATATATATTTTTTTCATATTCTAATAAAAGCAAACACCATTTCTGGATCAGGGACAGACTATTATTATTTATAACACCAACCACATTTGTTTTCCACACCTGATATCCCCCCCCTCAGGGCAATGCAAATAAATCAGATATATCTTATGCATAATAAAGTTTTTTTTTTTAACTTTTTTTTGCCACAAGAGAGGAATTTCAAAATTATAAATGTGGAACTTTATATCAGCTGCATGCTGCCCTCTCATCTGCCACCCTCCAGAGGAAGAAACTTTATCTTCCTAAACAAAGTCTTTGGGAAGAAAAGGCAAGCATTTGGTTCCAGAGGCAATAGGTTTTATTATCCTTTGAACAAAAACAGATGGTTCTATCATAAAGAAACCAAGCATCTCTGGCTCCAAGGACCTGAGAATGAGAAACAAATGGATCTGGAAAAGTATTTAGAGTATTATTTATAAACTATATTTATAACATGTCATTTTTGTTTGCTCAGAAAATCCTAACTACACAGCAATATAAAAGTATTCATATTGCTTCTAAACATTTAATATCCCCCTATATAAATAAGAGTGTTGCTATGCGAAGTCCCCAAATTCCATCCATTTATAACATTTTTATGGAAGTGATAGTTACATTAAGAAAAAAAAACATGGCCAGAAACAATTAACTTGAGACATCTGACAAAATGGCAAGCTGGAAAAAACACTGACTTAGGTGTTATTATCTCTGTGATCTGGGACAAACCACTTAAACTGTGTTAGCTTCGATGTTCTCATGGGTTAAATTAATAGCTCGGACTACAAAGGAGTTAATATTTTCTTAACAAACTTATTTTTGAGTCACAGGTATTTGTGTTTTAAAGAGAGAGAGAGAGATAGATAGATAGATAGACAGATAGATAATGTATCATCCACATATATAAAAATGGAGCTATCTATCTATGCATACCCATTTCCAGTCTCAAATTTGCATCAATGTCTTTATTGGCCAGATCTACAGTTGCTATGTGAAGTAATATTTAAGTCACGTAATTCATGCCAAAAATCTACTTTGTATTATCATAGTTCACACCAGGTATTAGTTTTCTTTATTTTCCCCAGAGAAACTGATAAAAAGAAGACGGCTTTGCACAGCGGCTCTCACACTTTAGGGTGCATCAGAATCACTTGGAAAGCTTGCTGCTCTTGTGCCTTCCCCAGAGTTTCTTATTCAGTATATCTGGAATTGAAGCCTAGAACCTGTCTTTTTAAAAAGTTATCAGGTGATATTAATGCTGCTAGCCCATGAACCACTAATCTAAAGATAAGAACCACTAATGTAAAGAATGTTTCTGAACCTTTCCTGTAGAGGAATCACTTGGGGATCTCAAAAACGGGAACATTCTGATCTATTAGGTCAGGGTGGGGCTTGCCCTTCTGCACGTGTTACAAGCTTCCAGGTGATACTGCTTCTCATCTTCCAAAGATCATACACTTCAATACAAATGACCACCACAGGCATCCCCTAAGAGCTGTTAATATGCAAAATTGAAACTTAGTTGTACAAATATGGTGCCTATAGTTAAGAATACTGTATTGTATACTTGAAATTTGCTATGAGAGTACTGTAGATATTCAGTGTTCTCATTCATACCCCCACAAAAAGGTAATTATGTGAGGTGATAGACATGTTAACTTGGTCATGGCAATTATTTCACAATAAATACTTAAATCATCATATTGCACACTTTAAATACATACAGTTTTGTTTTCAGTTGTACCTCAAGGCTGAAAAAAACCCTTAATTGTACAAACACGTATTGATTGCCTACTATGTATCACACACTGTAAAACACTGCCAGTGACCAGAATTGAATTAGACCTTGCTCAATGAGGTTTAGAGCACATATCAGAAAATTAAGCATATGTTAAAAATGCAATGATAAAGCCATAATGAAAAAGGGCTACAGAAGACCAATAATGAACTAATGAGTTCTGACAAGAAGGGGATGATGTTTGGGAGCAACACAGAGGGCAGGACCTAGAGAAATGCGGATATGATATATTTTACCCAAAAAGGCTCAGAAAAAGTAAAACTAAGGTGCAACATGAGAAACTTTCTTAAGTAAACACATACACTAGAGTAGGCCAAAAAAAAAAAAAAAAATCACTCTATATAGTTAAAGCAAACAAGCAACCATTTCCACTTTAAAAGGACCTGAACTTAGCTAACCAAATAAACAGACATGTTAAGCCTTACTTTCAAAATAAATAAACAAGTGACTAAAATTAGTCCATAGGATTTCAGGTAAAGTAAACAATGCTTCAAAAAATTATTCAGATACCCAAGGATTTAAGTTTATGCAAATACCACTTAGGCTAAAGCAAACAAAACCTAACAGTTGTTTTTTTTACAGATTTTTAGGAAAAAAGGCTCCTCCGAGCTGCCTAGACCAAATTTAAAATCTCACCATAGCTCTGGTTGACAAAAAATAAATCTCTGCCTCCAAACATTCTCTGGCCTGATAGGTGAACTTCAGCCTCAGGATGCTGGAGATGGTTGAGTCCTGCATAATCAAGAATCTTGTGAGAAAGTATTTTCTTCTGATGCAAGAGAAAGTGTAAACACCCTCAAGTGTTCAGTTACCTGTCTTTGTGGACAACAGAAAATTAAAACAACAAAACTGCTTTCTTTCTATACAGAGAAACAACTAATGAATTAAAATTAAACACATGCAAATCATTAGACATAATTGAGCCAACACAAAATGGGTTCTGGTAGAAATTTATGTCATTTTTTACAGAATGAAATTGGAAAAAAGATACCATTGTGTATGAGGAATTTTTGAAAGCTATTGCTGTTTAGAGGAAGAAATGAAAATAAGGCTGTAACATCCTCTCAGTGTCATCTGTTAAGAGAATTGACCTTTAACTCATGGCAGGTGAGAAATGGCTGAGACTCAGGCTAAGGCACTTCTAAACACACACACACATCTTCTCCTTGCTACTCTGGGTTTAACCTCAACCCCAGACCTCATTTTAGAAAGTCAAGAGACAACAGCCAGAAGCAAGCAAACAAATGTGTAGAGAGTTAAAGAGTAGAGTTTTCTGTCTCTTCTGTTGGAGAGTTTTGAATTTATATTCAAGAGCATGATTTCCACAGAGAGGGAAACACACCCACCATCTACTAATGAGCTTAACCGGGAGCAAGAATGCTGGAGAGCCAACTCATTTTGTTACAGGAATCATTTGGACTTGGTACTGTCAATTCATGTCACTTAAAGCTAAACAGTGAATATAATGTTAATGTGCTCTCTCTTCTCCCATCCGTGGTTATGTTCATTGCTTACTGAATACCTATTATAAATAAAGTTATGAATATGTAACCTCTGGGAAAAATTCCACAATAATATTGATCAGTTTGCAGTGTAAATTACATTGCTTATAATGGAATACCACCAAATTCACAAAGCAATTGACCAGGCACTATCAATGACATCTTTCCAGTACATGCCCTCCCGTCCTTGCATTATGTAACACCTTTAATGGCATGGCTCACTGCTACAACCTTGGGGCCATCACTCACCTCTTGTTTATTTACTTCATTTTAATGAATGCCAGAACTGAAGGGGATTTTATATGTCTAGGTCTGAAAGTACTGTCCCTGCTTAATGGAATAATACAAAATCTGTACGATTCATGGCCCTGACTTTTAGACAGATGAAGTAGAGTGGGGAGGATGAATAGAAAATAAGTTGTTTACTTTTTTAGAACAAAGCAAAAAACATTTTAAAAAGAAAAGACATTATATCTTTCTGTTTTGCTTTGGTTTATTTGGAAATACCTGTTTCAATAGTTAAACGTGCAGCAGTTAAAGCTCATGAAATAAAATATAAAACAGAAAATGAATGTAAACATTTTCTGAGAACTGCTCTTTATAGATTTTAATGTGATGTTACCCTCTATTTAAGCATATGCTTGTAAGTGCACTGACTCAGAGTATATTGGATGTGTCAGAATGTGGAGTTTTAATAGCTAGGAAAAAAATCTCAAATTTGACTCTTAGACAAGAACAAAAATGTCATCTTTTTGCAGCTAGATTTTAATACATCCTGGAGTGCTGGAAATCAATATCAAATCCCAGGATCCTTCTGCTGAGATATTCAAAATGTTATCTCTAATGGGAGTCATATCAGAAAATAAGGCAGATATAACCTAGGGCCGAGCAGTTCACACAAGAGCTGGAAAGAGCTTTGCTGAAATCTAAACATACTTTGTATCTTTAAATAACAAAACATTTTCTTCATCATTTTAACAAACACTGTAACCGTTTTTCAGAACTGAAAGCCCTATAGGAAGGTAGATAATTTTGGAGAAATTATTTTCTCTTGTTTAGCAATTATCATTAATGAAAGAAAGATTTATTAAATACTAATAAATCCGAGCTGAATTGACTGACCATGCATCCAAATTGCTGCATTATTCACACTGGAATTACTCCAAAGATTAGCTGCAAATTGCCCTCTAAATTGAATTTATGGTTTCATTTTTCATAACTACTGTGTTGTGACAGATGAAAGGAATCTGAGAGGAAAATGACAGCAATGGGCCCAATTTCTTAGTGCACTATCTGTAAGATAGGAGCCAAACTGTCTTTATAATTTCTTTTGGCAAGCACAAAAACCTGGTAGGCTGAAATACAAGACTTTGTACCCTAAGTTCCCCTCAAGGGAGGGGAAAGGTCAACATTGTATTTTTGCCAAGTGGAAAATAGTCAAATCAATATCTATGGAAGAAATTCACATGTATGATTCAATTGTTTTGTCTATTACACCTCTGATTTGATCCTCACAATGACACCATGGAATAGGTAATCACATGCCCACTTAGGAGAAAGGAAGAGTAGGGATGAGTAATCTGCCTTAGTCTGGACTTCTGGGAGGCCTATCTTCAAACCCCATGTCTAGGAGCTCCTGCCACATCCCCTCCCAGGAAGGGCTACTGCTTTGATTACCAATTCAGACTTATTAATTTTCTGATTAGCAGGATCTGTCGTAGTTTCGTTTGCATCAAAGAAAACAAAAATCATTACAGTTCAAATTAGAGGGAAAAGCAAATCAACTCTACAAACTGGGCATCATAAACATGCCTAAATCTTTGATACAACTGTTTTTAGACTATTAGTGAAAAGCTGAAACAAAACAAGTACTTCCAGATCAGAGAGACAGTAAAGGCCTGTATATGAGATAGATAACATGTTGCAATACAGAGAGGCGAAGACAATTTTGTTAGCCTTTAAATTGAATTTGTATAGTCCGGGCCTCTTGGGTTAGAAATGATTGAAAACAATATTGGGCTGGAGTTAGTGACAAGTGCAGTTGATGCCTTCAGGTTTATAAGATACCAGTACGTGAACATGTGCTCCGTTTGTAAGACAAATGATTAGGCAGCCTCCCACAGCTTTCTGTTTTTAAAGGTTTAGAAAGCATCGCCATTTTTCTTCTGTAATGGCCTTAGGAATTCTCCCCTTTATCAAACTAGCTCTTGGATAACATACAGAAACCCAGGCTTTTGAGGCACAAGAGCAAATTAATGTGTAATTATTTACAAATAAGTATTTTCACCATGCACTTGTTAATAAATAATTTATGTGATCCTTTTACATGACAGAAGTAAAACCAGTGAGAAGGAAATTGCAAAGCTCTGGATCTCTAGCTAAATCTCATTGCAACCTTTAACTTTTTAATCTAATAACTTTATTACTGATTTTATAATGTATCTTTTCTTGGAACATATGATTTAACTTTTTTCTCTTTTGAAGATTATTTTTAATATTTTCACTTCTTCTGGTATAACATAAACTTTCAGCTATATATGCATATTTCCACTCTAGCTAGTGCCACATGCTGACTTTATCTCACCAAACTGACCCATTTGTGTTTTTCCTTTATTTTCCATTAAACTAAGGTGTTTACATTCAAATTTAAAGTCAAACACTACTCTTAGTTTATGACAAATGTGAAAACTGAAAGTTTACTGAATGATTCCATGTAAATGGATAATATACTGATTCTGTATGTCTAGAATAGCTAAACACTTTCATTTTGCATTTTGCCATCATATAGAAAAGACAAGCCAAAGTCCATGGCACACCAGGTATGTTAGTGGAACAAGTCCAGATATTCAACTAGCTGTGCAACTCCAGACAAGTTCCTTAATATTTCTGAGCCCTGCTATTTTTCATTAAGGATAGGGTTAGTAATGCCTACTCATAAAAATTTTGTGAGAACAAGATTAGAGAACCAACTCTTACTTCTTATACATAAGGCATATCTCAAGCCTTAATATCATTTCTGAAAAGAAGGGGTTGAACTTCACTAATAGGCAAAAGGAAAAGAGCCGTGATGAAAGAGAAAAGCAATACTAAACCAAAATCAATGCCTTGAATTTTGGTTTCAAGGATGATTTTAAATGTATGAAATATAAAAACACATGTTTGAAAGAAATCCAGAGAAATAGTCACTACTTGAATAGCAGTACCCTAGGGACTTGGGTTAGGTAGACTTTCACTTTGTTACATATTTCTGAAATTTTTGAAGTTATTTATAATAAGCATGTAACCTTCATGATCAGAATTTCTAATATTTTAAATGTATAAAGTATAGAATACATTGCGTATTCAATTAATAGTTTCTTTTTTCATCTTTCAGATTCACCAGCTATAAAAATGAAGGCATTCATTTGTTCATTCATACTAGTATTTATTGACTACCTACTACTTCTAAGCTCTTCTTAGTGCTGAGGATTCAAAAATGAAAGAAAATAGGGCTCTGTCTTCTATTTCTGTCAAGACATAGGGACAAGTAATAAGACTTCAAAAATTACATGCAAGGAAATTTTTCAAAAGCTTTCTCTCAATCTGATTTTCAATTGAATGCATACCACGGAGAGTTTTCCCACCTGAAAACTGGCCACCACATTCTGAAAATTGATGTTAGAAAAATATTTCAGTATTCTAATTGATGTTATAAAAACATGTGAACAAAATATAAATTATATTGTTTTGTGGGAAGAACAAGCATATGTTTGATCTACACGTAATTGCTATTTTTATAGATCAAAATAGTGAAATATCACCCCTTTTGCACGATTCAACTTAATATTCACTCTCAGGATAGGTTTAAGATAATGTTGTGCAATTATTTCTCACAAAATAAATGTATTTCTCACTTTATAAACTTAGACCTGAGTGTACGTTCAAATTCTGAGCATATTTTTCCAGACAATGTTTGATAATCTGCATCAATAGGTAGGAACAGCAACACATATAAGCCAAATTTACCCAGACAAAAAATTCTTCACATATGACTTTTAGATATTCACCAGAAAGTACAAGTACAGATGATTTAGTGAATGAAATTAACAAAAGGCTCTCCAACCTGTTGTTAGACTATATCAGTAACTCAAAAGCAGGATGTGCAGAATGGAGAAGGCTCCACTCCTCCAGTGAATATTTCAATGATTTTGTTGTGCAAATGATTGAGGCAGAGGAAACTTTACAAAGCAAGTCACATTCTAACAAAATATCTTCCTTACGCTGTACAACATCAATGCCTCTTCATCAATATCTTAATTGAAAGAAGCAATATATGTGGAATACAACATATACTGAGAAATGAACACATGTATTGCTTGATAAATTTTTGTTCAGTGAAAACATCCTAATCCAAACCAGGGCAACAACAGCAAACACAACAAAGTAAAACACCTTGAAAAAGCAGTTCCTTAGATGGTTGAATTTGTGTATTCCTGAAATGTTTCCTGGCACTTTTAGAGAAACTTGAAGTCAGTGTGAATACTCAAGTGGGAAATTGCAAAGAGCACGAAGGGACTTTGGGGACAGCCACAGAGGTTGGATTCATAACTACTCTGTTTCTGACATACCTCTCTGAGCGAGGGAATGGGGAATCTGGGAGTTGGCACCGACTTGGCTTCTGGGAGCCTGGAGTAGGTGGTATTGGGCTAAGATACCCCAGGAGGGAAACCTAGGAAGCAAAAGAATTTAAATGGAGCAGAAAGAACAAATGGGACTCTAAGCATAGGACCAATACTAAAACAGTCATGCACTTTGGGTGGAGCCTGTGGCTGAACTTAAGGACAAATTTAATTCTCCTAACCTCCTTCTGTCCTATATGCTACTACTTTGTGTTTCAGTTCTACCTTGTTTTTACACTCCAAGATTTGAACATAAATCACCAATACTTCTATAGATTGTTCTAACATGTTAGAAATTGTTCACCATTGTTTCTTGCATCTTCATTCTTCTAAGTTCAATTTTCTTTTTGCTGAAATACATTTTGGTACATTTTTCAGCTAAAGTCTATGGGTCATATGTTCTACCTTGTATAAAAATAATTTCATTTTATTCTTAGATATATGTATTATAGATACAAACATACATATTTTGTTGAATACAACATATATTGAGAAATGCACACAAGTATTGCTTGATAAATTTTTGTTCAGTGAAAACATCCTGAACCAGGGCAAGAAATAGAGCATTACTGTTACCTTGGAATCTATCTTCCTGTCCTGGTCCAGTTATTATTCCACCTGCCCAAAATGATAACCACTATCCGCTCTGTCACCAGGGTGGAGTGCAGTGGCACAATCTCGTCTCACTGCAACCTCCACCTCTCAGGTTCAATTCATGCGATTCTCCTGCCTCAGCCTCCCAAATAGCTGGGACTAGAGATGCACAACACCATGCCCAGCTACTCTTCGTATTTTTAGTAGAGACTGGGTTCCACCATGTTGGCCAGGAGAGTCTCAATCTCTTGACTTCATGATCTGCCCGTCTCGGCCTCCCAAAGTGCTGGGATTACAGGCATGAGCCACCACACCCGGCTATGGCTAACTACTTTAATGCTATGGATTAGGTCTGCCTATTTTAAAATTCATATAAATGGAATTATGTATGTTGTCTTTTGTTCAGGCTTCTTTTGGTCGACATGATTGTAACTTTCTTTTGTTGTTTCTTTGAATTATCATTGC